CAGTAAAAAACGAGATTCATATTCTGAGGTGATAGTGACAACCACTGAAGAAAAAGTCTTATACTAATTGGTTCCTATGATAAGAACCTTCTGAAATAAGACTCAGTTATAAAAAGAAGACTATTGGGATGGTTAACATGTAAGAAACGCAAACGAATCAATATTCAATTGCGAGTAAAAATGAATGTATTCAAACCACAAATAAATACAACGAAGTCCGTTTGAACATCCTCTTTCGCACATCGACACATTTTCTCAAGAACCCGTAATTTCCTAGCATTTGACGTGGCATTTACTTGCCTCTCGAAAAGTCATCAGTCACTTCAGTTGAAAGAGACGCAATGACTTTCACAGAATGACTTGTGAAAGCGATCCGTCGTTCTCAGGGAATCAATGTCAACAAATACTCAAAGACTCAGCTCCTTCACATGTCCTGAAGCTGTACAATGCCTATTGAACTAGTATAGGCTTACCAAGCATACTTTACCATTCGAACCGTCCCAAGTGTAAAAATATTATTCGAAGTTGAGGCTCTATCTAGACTGAAGTGTGACTGACAGTACTGCTACCGTAGACTCAAGCTACCTTAGAGACGACGTATAGTTTAATTGATTGTAGCGTTGTGTATATTAAAATTCATCCTCAACAAAATTAAAATCACTTAAATAGTACTTACACAGAGTTATGTGCAGTATTTGTTCGGATTAAACTTTCTGATCAATGTTTTGAAGATATTACCTCATTGGTCACTGTTTTGGACACATTACACTCATTTAAAAGTTTCAATCTATATATCTATAAAGATAATACAGTTAATTAATGTTTTCACTAACATGAAATTTGAAATGAATCACTTATTGTACACCGATAATGTGAACTCTACACCCTATATCTAGATCAAAGATAGCTGGTTCAATTTTTCTTTGACTTGTCGCAAAGATTCTGGTTGATGGTTAGAAATACTAAAAGAGACGACTTACACCCGGGAGTAATGAAATGGTTTTCATTATTATTCACTCCATGCTCCTTTCTTCAGCTTCCAACCTTTCAAATCCGGAGGCAATCAAGAGAATCTTGCATTCACTGTTCATTTAAATCGATTGAAAATAATTTAAAATCTTATAAACCATGCTCGATTCGTGGAGTGTTTGTATTATTAGTCTTTTATCCTCATCAACGTCATTGATTAATTGTTTGATATTCCCGGTACGTCAACTGCTATTGTTCTTAGTCCCGGTAGTGTAGTGGATACTTTATGAGAGGAGGTGGCGGTATATTCTCCCTTTAAAAACTGAAAGAGGTGGCGTCAACTGATGTCACTGCAGTGCCTTTGGCCAAGAGGTCCTAAGGAAGAATTTTGGACACTAACTACATAACTAAGTCGAATTCAGTCGTTGTCTGCAGAATAATTCTAGCAGCCGGCTGCTCTGATCAGAAGTTTTCTGTGGTTTCTCCGATCACACCTGGCGAATGCAGGAGCAGTACCCTAATAAACGGGCCACGGACCGCGCGCGATCTTTCCTTACTCTTCATTCGCCTATTCTCACTTCTTGCTTACGCACATTTACACTCTGATGTACTACTCATGTCGAGACCAGCCGATAACTTAGAGCTTGTTCTGGTTGGGTCGGTGCCACGCTAGTAGGAGATACCTGGTTGGGGAAAATCCGCCGCCGTGAAGATCACCGTCACCTCTCAAGATAAAACATACCCACATTAACGGAAGTAAGGACCTTAGCAGTTGACGCGCCCGGAATCACTAATCAATCAATGAAATCGTCTGCTGAATGGAGAGGTCCGTCGCCGACCTAAACGTCGACTTGCGGAGTATTTTGCCCAGGTATCTCCCCCAGCCGGTGGAAGCTCTAAGCTACCACTTATCATCCGGAATGTGTGATATTGTAGTATATATGAGTCTGTGAGACTGAGGGAAAATGAGGGGAGAAAGAAGAAGGATCGCGAGCGGTCCGTGACCCGTTTGTTATGATACTGCTCCAGAAATCGAATAAACGACGGAAAACTACCCATCAGAGCAGCCTGCTGCTAGTATTTTCCTCCACCCACCGGTTGAATTGGACACTGCTATATTCTAGCTAGCGTCCAAAACTCCGCCACCCTGGACTCGAAGCCTAGGACCACTCGGTCGCTACAGAGCCCCGCTCAATATCAAAAACCATCATCGTCGTCGTCATCATCATCGTCGTCGTCGTCATCGTCGTCGTCGTCATCGTCGTCGTCGTCATCGTCGCCATCGTCATCGTCGCCATCGTCATCGTCGCCATCGTCATCGTCGCCATCGTCAT